TGACGATAATATTAAAGGAGCTGCTGAGGTCACTAATATCAGTCAACCAAATGGGACTTTAGTTGTGCTAACTAATAGTTCACAAACAATCGGTGTAGTAGTTTTAGAATTTGGTATTTGCTTTCATTCAGTAATAATTGGAATGGCATTGTCAGTTGCTAGTGGGACTGAGTTTATCTCTTTATTCTGTGCTTTAGTTTTTCATCAGGTAAGAATAAATTAATATATATATATATATATATATATGTCTTTCAATAATAATTTCTAAATATGTTTATTATTATTAAAGACATTTGAAGGTTTGGGACTTGGTTCAAGAATTGCAGCATTAAAGTTACCAGAAGGCAGCTTTAAACCATGGCTTATGTCATTAGCTTATGGTGCTACAACTCCACTTGGAATAGCTATAGGTTTAAGTGTACGTGAAACATATAATCCATCGTCATCAACTGCTCTCATAGTACAGGGAGTTCTTGACGCAATATCTGCTGGAATATTGCTTTATGCTGCATTAGTTGAATTGCTCGCAAGTGACTTCATTTATGGTTCCCAGTTTCGAAAATACTCCACCCTTCAAAAATTATATGCGTTTTTTCTTTTGCTTCTTGGTGCTGGAATGATGGCTTTGATTGGTGTGTGTTTATTTATAATTTTATTTATGATTTTTTTATTGTAATATTTACATAATATCAAACTTAAATATTTAGGTTATTGGGCATAAATCTTTCAATTCTTGCTTTTTTGGTTTTTTTTTTCTTCATGACATAAACTAATTAAATTAATTAAATTTATGCATTTAAAATTTTAAGTTATTAAAAATTTTTTATGTCATTTCATTTTTCTTTCTTTGAAATAAAGTAAATATTACTCAACTGTAAAAATAATAAATTAATCTTCATGTACAGTGCAGGTTACCTAGTCGCCAAACTTTTATTGATTTTTTAATCCTCCAAAAAATAGAAAAATGATAACATATCTTCAAAGCTAATTGACGTTATTTTATTGTAGGTTTAATCTAATATTTAATCAATTGCTACAATTAGCATTAATTTTTT